AAAAAGTGTTTTCTTGCATTTCACAAACTAACACCCAATGGAACTGGGCAAGGTCAATCAATAAATTAACAGAGTAATTCGGCATGAACAGTAATTATATCTTATAAATATTTCAAAGAAAAGTCAGCATTGCAAGTGTGTGTTTTTATCTGTGTAATGAGTAGCTACTCTAAATCAGTAAATATCGTACGCCACTGGATCTACACAAATCTGTTTAATGCTTATAAAGTTGACCATTCAAATTATAAACATCTATGCGGTTGTAAACACTTCGCTCATTCATTGGGAGTCTAGAGGGTGGTTCCAACGGCCCGAATAATTACCAGTTTTATACCTATCTTTATTCAAAGCACAGCGACATTGAGATGAACAATAAACTTAGTGGGAGGTTACACTACTTTCTCCCGATTCCTTTTTTACGTGAGACGATTTATAGATAAATTCACGTCCTTTTATCATCGTAATGATTGACGAACTCCTCCACTGGTCCAGTTGACAGATTGAAAATGGTAGAGTTACGGGGAAGAGGGTCGGAAGTTAATGAAACTGTTGTTTATGGATGGTTATTTAACATTTTATCAAGTTTTCTCGAGGACCCTGTGCGCAAAGAGCAAACTCTTTGATCTTCCTCCGGTTTTTCCTCAATCACTTTTTCCTTTGCGTTCAGCTTTTATGAAGTCCTTCAGCAGTGTACACATTCGAAAATACTGGATCCATAGAGCAGCCGTTGGCTCTCTTTTTTTCAATGGTGGACAGCACGTTTGAATATCGCAGTCACAGGATGAAAGTCCTTAAGATAATTATATATCGAATTACCATTATAAATAAGTACTGATTGTAATTATGTCCTCAAGATTACGAACTTATCCGGAAGATGGAGCACTTGATCCAGCGCTATCGAGTCTGGTTCGGTTAAGACCATGAGCCCCAAAATTTGATCCGTCAAATCAGTATGTGCCCTGATGTAAGTATACCCCGTTGTCTTTCAACCCACTTCCATCCACGATTGTCCCCATCGCCGCTGACAATCACATACAATGCATTCCTTCTGTTTAAGGGGAGCGTCTAGGAACAGCGACATGAAGACGTATCGACATATTGTCCAACTATGAATTTAATTTTTCATGTAACGCCATCTTTGCTTGTATATCGGCATTATTCGGCATTTAATGTGGTCGTGTTCCGGAATAAAAATTCTTAAACGCCGCCAAGTCTGGTGCACATCCGCTGATTATTCTTATTTTGCTTCGAGTAAAAGAAAAGCGTTACTGCATTTTTATAAAGTACCTCTATTTTTATTTGAAGTGTCAACAGATAGGATTTACTTCCTGGCCAATTTGTTTTATTACCGTTGTGTACGGTGTACCTATTTATTTATCAATCGACCTTATTATTTTACAGAATCAACCAATATTTTGTAGGTAACGCAAACTGTCTATTTTGTAATAGCAATCCCTAACCAACGTAAACTTGTAGACACTATTCTTGAAAAATACAATGTAGGTGTTAATTTTTGGGAGGCGAGTTAGGTATTATGTTTTTATAATAAATAAGACATGCAACAGAATACGGCGTGGTGTCATTTTGCAGTGCGCTGCGAAGTGATACTGATAAGCTTTCCATTTTATGCAGGCTTGAATTTCTTCTCTATAAGCAGTTTCGTACTTCATTTGTAATAATTATATTCAAGTACCTAATCATAGAATCGTCTAGCCAGGATTTCCAGGATTAATTATTTTAGAAAAAAAATTGTTCCCGATCCTAACTGCGCTTTTTATGTACGTAAGTGATTCGAAATCGGGAAAAAATAATAATCAAAACATCTGAATTTTTCCGTGGGCGAAATCACGGTGGTTGAATGGGATGGAAAGTGATAATTTGCAATTTGTAGGGAATTAATACATGAACAACTTTTGTATCTACGCTTTTTTCACATAA